TTATTATTTAAATCAATAGATACTAAAGAAACATGACACAACAAGTAATGCTGCTTAAAGAATTTCAATTCCTACGCAGTTTAGTGTTACATTACAATTTACATTTTTAATCAAAATACATATTAGTTTATATGTACCTAAGTTTGAGTACCTATACTGACCTATTTACGTAATTGTTAGAAATAAAACTTTAGGCAAAAGTAAATAGCAAAAGTTTAGGTAAAACACTGTAAAAATGTTTGTGATTTATTTATAGATTCAAGAAAACATTTGAAAATCAGTAACCACACCAGGTTAATCACAGACAAATAAATTAGGATTTATAAACACAATTAGAGAAGGGCTGATAAATTTCGAGACCAAAAATAAATTATTTAATTTTGCTGAGAAAAGTAATGTACATTTTTTCAATATCATCAGAATGTAAAGTATTTTTTTAGAACCACCTTTTTTGACGTGATGTTTTTAGATATAAAATAAGGTTACTTTTGTGGTAAAATGTTAAAATTAGGAGAAAAAATATTTACATATTTTCGGGTTCGAAAAAAATTACAGCGTGCTTGAGTATAAATGTTAAATTCCACAAAATTTCGTGAAAAAAAAAGTTTTTTGGGAGATAAAAATAAAAAACCAGAACCGAGGTTATTTTGATTTTTCTGATATTTATAGGTTATATGAGAAAGAAAACTCAAATCGCCCGTAAATTATTTATGTATTTCTTTTTTATACATTTTACTTTTAAAAGAGGTTTCATCCCTTTTTTTTTCGCTTATTACCATTTTCATAGGTATCCGTCCTAGCCAAAATAAGCAACACTAATAATTACATTTTCTTGGTGGTTTATAGACATAGTAACTAGTTGTGAAATTTGTTTACACATTTCCAGCAACATTACGAATAATTACGATGTCGAAAGTGCTCGTGGGATAGTTGCTTACTTCATGCATGCGTTCTAGTTTCTGTACTATTGTTGCAGCTTGGATTTCTTTTAGACAGTTGTTCAATTCAATTTTATATAAAAGGCTATACTGCGTACCAACTCAGTTTTAAAGTTTCATTCATACGTTATAATAAATCAGAACATCTTAATCTATTTAAACAAGCCGCTAATAAGGTTTGCACCCAGAATTGTCAAGGGCATATATACTGCAGCTAGTGGGAGAGAAATCAAATGTGATCGTTATATAATATAGAAGATCCAGTTGCATTGCTATACAAGGGTAGCGATCCATTCACATGATGCACAAAAATCTAACTTTGAAATTGAACAAAAATTGCCTTAACATTTGCAGTTTTGTACTGTATTTACAAAAGCAAATATTTCAACAGCAAATATTTCATTTCAGTAAGACACAATCATTTAGAAACGAATTTGTATATAAGGTTTGAAATATATTTTAAAGCTGTGAATCTGCGATGTTATGTCATCTTTAATTATTTTTGCTGATTTTCATGTAACCGAAGCACCACTTTTTTTTACTTCATCTGCAAATTCACTGGTTGATATAGATAAGTTAAGGCATGGCGCAATTCGGCACTCAACACATTTTTACGTAGAAAGTGAAACGAGCCGGACCTTCGAAAACTTTCACGTCACGTTATGTTCTATGGAATCAAAGTTAATACATTTTTTTGAAGTTATACTTCTTTAGGCGCGTTATGAAAAAATGATGAGAGTGAAATTTTAAGATGCGCGCGCATCACTGTAACACAAAAAATTAACAGCTGTTACTTTTGTGTTTACCGCACATTAAGAAAATCTACCAACAAAATAGAATCTCTATTTTGTGAGTACTAACGACTGCATTGTGAAGGCCTATCAAAAGTATTTATTAATCTGGAACAACGGAACCAAAGCGCGATTCAGGAGACTACAGCGCCATCTCTTGACCATTGGTGTAGTAGAACCAAAAACCACATCTTTATTTTTTGTAATAAAGTAACAGTTATAGGTATTCATATTTATAATATTTATCCACATGTTTCTAGTTTGTATATTCGGAATACGTGTTTGAGTTTCATATAAGTGCAAATCACATATGTTCTAATAAATTATATTCAGTAGCGATTTTAATTGAATATTTTGATTATTTATTTATTTTTTCAAATTAAAACGGAACTTTATTGACTGTGTCCTTTTCCAGACTTTTTATTAATTTATTATAATTAATTATTTGCATGCAATTAAAAACTAATTTTAAACGATGCCAAAGAAGGATAACTTCTCACGCGCCTACATAAGTACACGCACCCATTTTTTTTTTCAAAGAAATCATAACGTTTGAATGTCGTTTGTATAGATTATTGTATTTAGAGTACAGGTAATTTAATTTCAATCAAAAAAAAAATATTAATTGCCTATAAGGCTTGCAAAAGTTTATCGGTTTTGTTTATAGTTTTACTGTTTTTTCCCAAAATTTTAAATGCGTTGAAATCTTTTCCTCTTCTATAAGTTGATGATGGGCGAAAACTATACAGTATTTGCGATGCATATAGGTATGTATTATACATGCATTATAATTATGTATTGTATTTTATAATGCAGTTTTTTTCGATTAATTTGCGTTCACTCAAACACAGGTTGGGTTGAGTATGAAAATATTTTGTTACATATTTTAGTCATCAAATTTAGCACATATTTAAATGATCATCAAAAATACAATTGATAACCTAACCTTTTGTATACCAATTGTATTTTTAGATGATCCTTTTTTCTTATTAATAAATAATAAAAAATGCAAATTTTTAAATTGTAAAAACGTATCTCGGTGAGTGTCGTTCATACATTAAATAAAACTAGTTTTAACGGGTTAATGCACGAAACGTTATTTATTTATTGACGTTTCGCAGCCTTTTCAGGTCTGCTTCGTCAGAATACTGAGCGAAACGTCAATATACGTAGTTTTTGGAACGAACCTAGCGAGGCATCTAGCTAGGCTAGCCAGGTGGGTAGATAGGCAGCTAGTTGGGCGATCACAGACGGCGGGCGGTGGCTGTGGACTTGATTTGAAGTTTTCCTTTCGGGCCTTTAACCACCACGCCGCTCCAGTGCGATTAGTAGCTAGGATTTTTTTTTGATAGAATAGGGAGATATTGAGATGGATAGAATAGAATTATAGAAAAAAAACTATTTTTCATTTGGGTATAGTTATAAATTAAGCGTTAGGAAGCAAAATTTTGTATAGAATTTTGAATTACTTTTGCATTCTATGTTTACATAATGGGTCAATCTTATATCAAGTATGTTGAAATTATGCAAGTGTGTCAACTATTTGTTGACTATACTTAGGTACCAAGTCTTCAAAACCAAGTAAAGAGAAAAACTTAAATCGTTTATCTAACAATTTCAAATTTTGTATTCACACCTGAAATTATTCTGGAATAAAAAATATAATTATACTCACATTTCTATAATCATAATCATTTTAATCAATTTATCTTTACATATTACAAACGATTACGGGACGAAAGACAGTTCAAGCTAATAATTATTAAAAAATTTCAATACCATGGATTTTATTATTCATGGTAATAATGAATGAATGAATGAATAATAAAATCCAAATTAAATTCAAAATAATGAAATTTTTGAAAAGGGAAATATACCTATTAAAATTAAAATTTATTATCTGCATTAAGTTGTTGCTCAGAGTACTCCAACGTTTTGTGTTGTCTGCGTATGAGTCATCGCATCGCACGCACGCCACATGACGCGCAGGCGCATTGTTTATATTCACCATGTCTGTTGCTCGCTTCATGAAAACCAAGCCACTTTTTTACCTTAGATAATCATATCTTATCAGTTTCTAGCATTAAAAGATATCATCAGTAAGATTATCAATGAGAAGAATCAAATTTATCAACACTCAATGTGAAATTTAAAGAAAATTAATAAAATCCATAAATTCAAGTAGGTACACATTAAAGATTAATGGCTATAACGTTGTAAGAAACTCGATCTGTTAGTCAGCGTTAATCTTATTACATACATATATTGTAATAATTATTATAATGAAATCATGTTTAATTTATGTAGATAGTGGTATTTATATTGACAAATTGTTAAAACATTAAAAGAATTATAGTGGACTTCTTATAATAAGAATCACTCAAAAATGTTAAATGCATTTTGCATATAGAAATTGCATTTGCATATATTTTTAGAATATGTTTAAAGGCATTATCTTAATGCGTTTAAACATATTCTAGGAACTATTTCGTATAACTTGGATTGTAAAACAATTTTTATATGTTATCTGTTTTTCTAAGTCATTCTTACCCCATAAAATTGTAGTAAAAAGTACATTTTAAATTATTAAGTTACTGAAATGACTACTTTTATGCGCTCCATTGTTTGTGCTAAAAAGCGCGAGCTATTGGTAGTGGGGAGAGATTTCCCCTTAGTGCGGCACAAGCAGTGAGAGCCATTAAGTCACGTAAAGTCGATCTGTAAAACGTGTTCCTCGTTTTTCGAATATAATAATAATAATTAGAATTAACTAAAATTTGAACAATATAATATAAAGTTAGCATAATTCAGTATTGCATCGTTTAATTTCACTTCCACCTGAGTTTATAAATAGTCTTGGTACAAAATATTATTTTTTCTCGTTATTAATCAGTTATAGATAAGCACTGAGGACAAGCATAAACAGTGATGTTGTCTGTCATAAGAAAATGAGGTTTCGAAACCCTTAATGGTTCCTCGCCTATTTGCGAATAACTCACCAAAGTTAAATTAATAACATGAGTTTGGATAAAAGTAACAGTCGTAAATTTATGTCTTAATTAAGTTACAAATTGAAGTCTCATACAATGTCCCATACATTCCATCCCCATAAATTTATCACTGTTAACAACCTTGGTTAAGTCTAAGCTCAACACGATTTTCATGACGTAGTGCACAAAGTGTAACGTAGGTTCAGCCTTATAGATATTACGTCACCGTTTGGAAAAGTCAAAGAAAATCCCGCACATGCGTAGTTTCCTTGTCTTGTCTGTCCCCCGTTCGCGACCGGCCGACCGCATCAGACGACGCGCGCCGGGCGTCGAGTGCGCCGGGAGTGAAGGGCTTGTCAACGCGTATATTATTCACCGGATTCGGCAATACAAATTGAAGAAACACTTTTATAACAGAACTGTGAAAACATTTAGTCTTCTTTTGTTTATTGCCGACTCAAGTAGTCCATTTTTTATAATTTTATAGACTAAAAGTGTTAGTGATAAGTGATTCAGTATCAGTGACATACTCATGTAATTGTTGATGTGTAAAGACACATGCCGGGTGTGATTTGTATTTGATAAAGTGCTATAAAGAAGACAGGTAATTACTGATATAATGTACTCAAAGTCAAATTTGCATGAAAATACAGTAAATTAAGATCACAAGTAATTAATAAACGAAACTTTTTTAACGATATTAAGTTCAGTTACCTACGAAAATAAACACAGTTCGTTATCGTTAATTGTTATTTGACTAACTAGTGACTTCTCTAGGTATATTATATTGGTTTGAAAAATGTTCGTTATACTTGGATGTAGTCGTGTTTATTTTTCTTGAATTCCATCACATTCTGATGTATAAATAATTACATATAACGAAAGTGAAATTCGAATTGGTTTATATCTAGTTACTTCTTAAATTATATTAATAACATACAAAATATGTAAACTAACTATCTCATATAAATGAACCCGAAACATTACCACTCAGAGCACTCAGAGCAGGAGTATTTAAAATTGAATGTATACAGCTTTTGTAAGAGATTTTTTACACTTCCTAGCAGGCAGGTAGGATTTTAAAAGCTCTTTTGTAAACTGCACCTGACGTTGGGATCGTTTGCCACCTGCCGCTGTTCAAATTTAACACAATATGGTATTCCAATTCGGCGGTAGGTAGCGAGATTGGTAACGAGTACCACGTAAGACACCTGTCGTATATTAAATTCGGTTAGCAGGTTTTATGTATGATCAACAAAGAACCAGAACAGCAAAATAATATGAGCGTAAAAAGGTGTAAATTAAATTTTCGTACGACTGATTTGCTTATTTGCACTCGCCCGACGAATATCGCTCTTATTGGTACATAATAAAGACGCTTTTTATGACAATTTGCCATTGATGAGTCCTTGACTGTAGATAAAGTTAATAACTAAGGTACACTGAGGCAAAAATTAACTTAACAAAGGCGTATTTTTAGGTATCGCACCTTTATGTTAGTCGTGCTGTTTTCGTAATCTGTATTATTTTACTTGGGTGATCGGTGTTGTGATATGGTGTGACACATTGAAATCTCTTGAAATATACAAGTAGATTATGTTATATAATGGAAGAATATTTTCCTAGTCCCATTTTTCATGTCACCTAGTATGTACAGAGGCTGGTAATTAAGGCGAAACTTGATTTCACTAATTTAACAAAGTCCAATCGAAGAATTAGCGTTTTTTAATGGTTTATAAATTATAATAGTGTTGAACATTTTGTCGGGGAATTACTTAATGAGATGAGCTACAATGAACCAGTGATTGGTCGAGCCTGGGCGCAATGCAAAGTAGAATTATAACAATTGATACATGACATACAGAGCAATAGGTACTACAATATTGTACCTAACATTGTTGTGGTACAGTTTACAGCCACTTAAACTATCGTTAAACGTTCGATACTAGTTGACCCGCACAATATACATTGCGTTGTTAAAGTTTATCTACACTGTTTGGTTTAAAAGCCGAACCGATGTTCAGAGTTCACGAGGTATTTGCTAGCAGGCCACTCCCTTCCTCAATTATCCAATTTCCTTGTCGCATAGCGTGCTCCGTAGACACAATTCCTTCAGCATCAATTGAGGCCAGAAATGAAAAGTATACCTAATGTTAATTCCAGAAATATACTGTAATGCTCTACCTAGATTTTCGGCGACAGTAGTGTGATAGCACTCTATATCCCTTGACACGAGATTAAAACGACAAAAACGTGGATGTACAAAATAAATTAAACTTTGTGGGATTTTTCTTCAAATTTCGCATTTCTCAATAGCTTTACAAAGACGTAGACGTAGATGCTTGATTCGAAAATTCTATATGTAGAGTTTAATCTTCTAACATTTCTCTTCTATAAGCCATTTGATAATAATCACTTTCCAAAATTTTGATTAATCGCAGGTATTAAGATAAGATAAGATATACACTAACACTACTACTTCCGAAGCATTAATATTAACTGAACTAATTACAATAAGAATAACAAAACGTTTACTATGCTATATTGTGGCTATATGGAGACGAAATCATGGTATTGCGTCATCTTAATGGCGTTAGCTAATTAACTTTTTCTATCAGTGTGAATGAAAGTAATTTTCTATTTGATTGCACATTGACTTTTTTAGACACTTGGGATTTGAAGGTTCCATTTTTGTAGATGGGGTATACCTATGTATTGGTCGAGTGCGAGTATTATTGCCTCTTTGACAATACGAAAATTATGAGTCGTACATGTCAAATTCATTTTTCCACGACTCTTATCTCATCCACAGGCATGGATATGATAACCGAGATAGATGATAATGAAATCATCTTATTTGCTTAGTCAGTTTGTTTGTCGTAATCTCTATTATTTTTACACCCGAAATTTTATTACATCAAATTTTATACTTTTTATTCTCTTTCACAAACTTTAACACGAAATGTTGTTTTCGTGAATAAGTTATGCCACTTGGGCGAAGAGGTTATTAAACCTTTGCTTTTACAATTTAGGGTCTATTGACTTCCAATAGTAGTAGCAGTAGCGTTTAAGTACGTACATACAATGCGCTTTGTTCGCTCAAGCTACTCGTATTGAAGCGGGTATAAATAGTGCGTGTCATCTGACTAATCTTTTTTAACCTAGACCTTGGTTGTTCACCTCCTTGATCTAATCTTGTCAAATGTAGCAGAGCAATGATATCTATGTTATAGCACTGTTGTTTAATTTGATACGTGCACGCTATAATGTGGACACACGTTATCAGTCTTGCGACTCAGGGGCTTTTATTAGTTTGTCATTTTGATAAACAAAATTGCACTGTTATTGTACGGATAATTAATTGGTTACAACACGAAAAGTAAACTTAAGCATTGAGGATCTTAAAAGTACCTCACTTAAAAAGCTTTCCTTTCTCCAGTATAAATATCATCATTCGAATTTGACATTGAGTACAATAGAGTAATTGATTAGAGAATCAGTGTCGGATCGTTTTTGAAAACTTTAAAGAAATGAGGGTGCACGTTTCATCTGTGGTCGTGATGGAAGCAGACGTTGGTTAGTGATGTTAGTGCGGGGGTGTACGGGGGGTGAGCTGCGGCACTCGCTGGCGGAGCGCACCAAGGCGCTGGCGGCGCGCTGCCACGCGCTGCGGTCGCCGGCGCGCGCAGACCGCTCCACCGAGCGCCGCCGCCCCAGGCACCGCAAGTCTCAGACTCGGTGGTACGTCAAGGTAAGCTGCTAACATAAAGTTATCAAAAGGTACAGTTGTATGGTGAGTTTGTTGTCAGCGCGCGTAGACTGCTTCGCCGAGCGCCGCCGCCTCAGGCACCGCAAGTACCAGGCTCTGTGGTACCTCAAGGTAAGCTGTTAACGTAACGTTAGTAAGTATGACAACAGGTACAGTTTTATGGTGAGTTCGTTGCCAGCGCGCGTAGACTGCTTCGCCAAGCGCCGCCGCCTCAGGCACTGCAAGTCCCAGACTCGGTGGTACGTCAAGGTAAGCTGCTAACATAAAGTTATCAAAAGGTACAGTTTTATGGTGAGTTTGTTGCCAGCGCGCGTAGACTGCTTCGCCGAGCGCCGCCGCCTCAGGCACCGCAAGTACCAGGCTCTGTGGTACCTCAAGGTAAGCTGTTAACGTAACGTTATTAAGTATGACAACAGGTACAGTTTTATGGTGAGTTCGTTGCCAGCGCGCGTAGACTGCTTCGCCAAACGCCGCCGCCTCAGGCACCGCAAGTCCCAGACTCGGTGGTACGTCAAGGTAAGCTGCTAACATAAAGTTATCAAAAGGTACAGCGTTATGGTGAGTTCGTTGCTAGCGCGCGTAGACTGCTTCGCCGAGCGCCGCCGCCTCAGGCACCGCATGTACCAGGCTCTGTGGTACGTCAAGGTAAGCTGTTAACGTAACGTTATTAAGTATGACAACAGATACAGTTTTATGATGAGTTCGTTGCCAGTGCGCGTAGACTGCTTCGCCGAGCGCCGTCGCCTCAGGCACCGCTAGTCCCAGACTCGGTAGTACGTCAAGGTAAGCTGCTAACGTAAAGTTATAAAAAGGTACAGTTTTATGGTGAGTTCGTTACCAGCGCGCGTAGACTGCTCCGCCGAGCGCCGCCGCCCCAAGCACCGCAAGTCCCAGACTCGGTGGTACGTCAAGGTAAGCTGCTAACCGTACCGTTACTTAGTATGACAACGGGTAAGGATACATGGTGAGTTCGTCGCCGGAACGCGCAGACCGCCCCAGGTACTGCAAGACCCAGACTCGGTGGTACGTCAAAGTTATTTTATTATTATTTTACTTAGTATGAAAACTTGACTTTGCCACCGGCAACTATTGTGACAACGATTCTCACAAGTGAAACGAAATACGTGTAACCAAATAAACGTATTTCATTGTAGTCAGTTGTCGTACTCTTTGTAAGATAGACCCCCGTATGCACGTGTTACAATCTATTCTTTAACAAGCGGTAGAGTCATTTGCCTATATAATTATAAAAAATAACGTTGGGAAACCTTTTATTTCTACCTTTTCAATGTATTTATAAAGATAAAGGAAGATCAAATTCTCGCACATGTATGTCTACAGACTGGCTCGCCTTCAAAGTGAACCCAATATAATATAATATATAATAGTAAGCAACTTTTACAAATTACTTTGGCACGGCGCGCATATTTAAACGAACTTTTTAGGTTTCATTAATTTTTGGATGTTATTATCAATATTTATTATATTGATCTTAACCAAAGCGAGAGCAGTTTTAGCATTGTTTATCATCATATTTTTTATGTTTTGATAATAATGTATATGTACAGCTTATCTGTTTCGAGGGGCTTTCCTTGTTTGAGAATAAATTGGACGTTGCGTTGCTAGTGGCGGATATACGAAGTTGTTTATCCAGTATTTCTCATTGTGTGAATCAAAACTGATTGTCACAATATATGATGAATGTAATTGATTCATTCATAACATCAGTAGTGGTTTGAACGACATCTTATAGACTCATATTGTTTAATAAAACTTGTACCAGAGATAACTATCCGAAATAAAATAACTGTTACTTATCATATATCATAAAACCACAGTATTACAAATAAGTAAAAGATAAAAATGTTGTAAAAGTAGGTACCTACCTTAAATAGGTGTCCCAAATATAAAATTATCATATCCCTACTAAATAGAAGGTACGTACGAAGGTAAGGAAGGTGCGTGCCAATTCAGATAGAAAATTCACTAACACAGATACATGGTCCGAATTCGGAAAGATTCTCAATTAAAATACGAAACATATTAGTTTTAATTTTTCTTTGCACTTAACTGCTAGATTTATGAATAAATGTAGGGTTCGAGAATAAATGTAATATGAATAATGTAGGTATTGGAAGCGTCTATAGGGTTATGGTGGACGCTTATCACCAGGCGGGCTAAAAATGATATTTCTACGTTTTCGAAGATTCGCCACCACGTCATTATTAAAGTTCGTCATCGATGAATGCTCCATGAACCGTTCGCGCTGACTAACCGTATACTGGCGACTCATATTTGTTTACCAGTCCAAGTCGCTCTTGTAGCTGATATTATGAGCCATTCGCAATTACACGTTAAATTGGTTACGCCGTACTACCTCTATATTACTCGGTAAACAGACCGACCAAGTCGCGAGTTATCCAAATAAATATCTGATCAAATGTGTGCAGATATCAGTGTGGTGCATAAGTGTTAAAGTATTTAGTTAAAGAAATGTTTGCCTTGTTTATGTGTATATTATAACTCTACTGAACATTCAAGGTATTTCATGCGTGGACTGAGGCATGTATGTGCTAGTTAGTTGCGGAACGTCTAATTACTCATTTCTTTTTATTTGTTTACTATGAGCTTATCTCACAGGCTGCAGGCTTCGTTAGCAATGCAGGTCAAGGCTTGTATTATGTGATGTGAGTGGCGGCGTTTGCCCGCAGGTATACTGCTTTGATACATTGGACTGTGACACTATTTCATGAGGCTGATTACTTCGTCCGAAGTAAAACCCAAGGTAATTGGTTCTCCTAAATACACTAAGATATTACTTACGACTAAGTTGGAAATTATACGTTATGGAGACGCGTAAAAAATATAAGAATCGCTACGTCGCAGGATAAGATGGGTTTGTTAACCTCCATCCCCTCACCTCCCATTTCACCCAGAGTCACGGGTTAAAACCATTATTTGGCAGACCGCCAGTATGGCAATAACTTATAACGAAAACTGCTTTGTTTTTCTAATTTATTTTATTACAGTAATATTAGTCAACTCTATTTCATACAATCTGTTATCTTTGGGATAATAACATTGTTTTCTTGTGCAATGGTACATATGATATATCCTTATTTAGGTACTGATATCTAATATTATCAATTTCCCTGTAAATCTTAAAGTTACTTGCTTTTATTTAAGTATAATATACATATACCTACACGTTCTTTAAAATAAAATAATTGAGAGCTTAGAAAAGTTCATTTTACTCGTATCTAATATATATTTATTTTAAGCATTGAAACAGCTTGATGTATAAATCTAAAGAAAAAAAAACTAAAAATAAAAATCTCTTGACTCTTTCTTTTATAATAATGTTGGGCATATAATATTTTAAGAAGACTTTACTGTAGGGCGGCTGAGCCTCTTGAGCCTGAGTACAACGGCGTCGCAGCCTCACAGGTTTGCCAATGAATAATTCACAGATTAATTATGTATTTACTCCACAGAGCATGTGATCTGAATAAATTGACGTGTGATGTATGTGACGTATCTAAGTGTCGCCGCACACGGGCCACACGCCACAGCCACAAACGCCGCCACAAGAAGTTAGAAGCGGCTACTAAAGTGGCTGAAGCGCGCGACAGCGGCCGCCTAAGGCAAGGGAAAGAGGGGTGGGGATTCGCGTGAGTGACGTGTGGCTGCGTTTTGTAGCGGCGCATTAAGTGGCCGGTGCGGGCCACAAGAAGCGAGCAACGACGATTTGTAGCTTGTGGCGGCCACCGGCGTACCGTGTGTGGCAGTCCATATAAAATGTATGAAAACTACAAGTAATATGCCGGTGGCGGCGTTTTGTGGTTGTGGTCGGTGGCCCGTGTGCGGTGACACCAATGTGCTTTTAATAGCATCTTCAAAGTAACTGTGACTCATTATGACGTTGTACAACAATATGCTAAATATTATTTATTTCAATCAAATATTGGTTACTCATCGGGTGCCACAAAATGGTTAGTCAAATGATAAACAGAATTTGTCTCGCCAACTACGGACTGAGCTTGTAAATGATTCGTATCGCTAAGGATAATGAAAAAAGTTAATAAATCGCGTTATACTAGTTCAAAAAGGGTTTAGTTAAAAATAATGAAAAACACGAACGAGATTCCAAAAGATATGAACAAGTCTCCTGACTTAATAAAGTATTACGCTGGCACTTCAAATGGCTTTTCATTTCATAGAGCAATGGATACATGACATTCAGAGTAATATAATAAGTATATATCCTAATGTGTTCGTATACACTGCTGTGTGCTGCTGTCTAATTTAGGTTAGACAAATATAAATAGCCATATGAACGCAGAATTTATGCTTCTATTTTGTTGTAGTTTATAAGAATGTTTTCTTTTTTGTGAAAGAAAATCCCATAATCAACTTCAAGATAAGACCAAGGTCAAGTAGAGATGCGCACTTCTAATACTTCGAGTTGTTCGGACAGCTTGGCGTCGACCCTACTCACTAAGATAACCTTTATTTTCCGATTTTTTCGGATATGATTTCTAGACAAGTTTCCATGTTTCGATTTGTAACTTAAGACATATTAAGAACAAATTTTTGGTCTGAATGTTGCCAGCCAAAAAATTTAAATTTTGGTCGTAATTAAGTATTATATATTTTTTCATTATATTTGATTCCAAATAGGCTCAATGAAAATAGACTTTTACATTTAGTTGTGATAATACATATCTTAATATATATAAATCTCGTGTCACAATGTTTGTCCTCAATGGACTCCTAAACCACTGAACCGATTATAATAAAATTCGCACACCATGTGCAGTTCGATCCAACTTGAGAGATAGGATAGTTTAAATCTCAAATTATAGTCGCAATTTTAATTTATTGCAAATTATTACTTTTGGGCGGTACGAAGTTCGCCGAGTCAGCTAGTATATATATATATATATTTAATGATGGCTGATGCTTTACTGATTGCATTGTTC